GTTTTTGAAATGTAAAGAGATGACAGCAGTGATGTTATTAATGATCTGTGCAACATGAACGTGAAGCGTACCGATCTTAAGTGTAAACGCTGAACCTCATTGTCTTTATCCCTGATTTCCCTCTATCGCTCTGTACCTCTCAGATCACACACACACACACACACACGTAGATAAGACAAATGAAAGCTGTCCTGCTTCTTCTGCCCAGCCTCTGCCAACTTAATTTGCAAATGAAAAGTTTTGCGAGGAGCGTCCTTTTGCTTCTGGGGCATGGCAGCACACTGTGTATTTGGGTGGGGGGTGAGGAGTGAAGAGGGTTTGACAGAGGGTATGTGTGTGTGTGTGTGTGTGTGTGTGTGTGTGTGTGTGTGTGTGTGTGGCAGGAGCCCAGATGAAGCAGCCCTCGCCCGGGGCTCGCAGTCCGCCCGCGGTAGCAGCAAGCCTGTTCCTTCTTTCCCGGCCCGCCGCGACCATTTGTTCCATTAACCAATCTCCTGGAGCCTCTGGTACAAACACACACACACACATCCACAGGCATACATACTTCAACAACTGCTTGCACAGCTCATACCACACATGGCCCTCCATCCTTCGCTCTATCCCCCCCTCCCTCCTCTGCGCTCCTCCAGACGCACGCACCATCTTTCTTCGTGGAGGCCATATGGCCCAGTGAAGCCTGTGGATCTACAGGCACATCTGCGTATATGTTGCTGCTCTCCTTAAAGGGCTGCGTGCTCTCATAAACACTCACACACTCATGCAGTACATGCACACACACGGCTGACAAACACACTCTGCTGTCACTATGTGTGGCTAAGCAAACGTTGGTGTTATGGTGTTATGTATGGTCTGTGTGTGTGTGTGCGTGTGTGTGTGTGTGTGACCTCAGTGTGTACATGCCTAGTGATAATTGGTGAAACAGCCTGCGAACAGCTGTGAGGTGAGAAAAGGTTGCGTGGTGTTTGGTACAGAAGGAGGACAAGAAGGAGAGGAGAAGAGAGGAATAAAGTTGGAAAATGAGAGAAGGGCAAAGAGGAAAGTGAAAAGAAATAAGAAGAAGAGGGGGGAGACAGAAACAGAGTGCAGAGGAGAGGACAGCTACAGTCGAGAAACAGTAGATGCAAATCTTAAACATGAACAGAAAAACAGTGGAGAAGTCACAGTTAACATCAATCTGTCAGAAAGAAAATAATTTTTATATTTTTATTTAAAAAAGGATAAATAATTATTGAAATATCTTTTTAAAGTGAAACCTGAAGTTTCACTTCAAAAAAAGTCAGAAAAACACAGCAAGGTGTCACGGACAGTTTATATTACATTTACTCTGACTGTGTCTCGCTCTGGTGTCTCGTTGCATCTCAAAGAGCGGTTGCTGCAAGCCAGATATTTGAGTTATTTGTTTGTTTCTACAAACCGTACATGAGCAGGAAATATTTTTAAGCGCCATAATAACTTTCATAAGAGCTCCAAATATTTATCATCAAGATGTCAAATTTCTTATAATTACTTACCATTCAAATTAATTTGAAAATAAAATAGATACCTGTATTCATCTTTAAATAAATTGTAAAATAACAGACATGCATCCCTTTTTCTCTTTTTGCATCTGTGATTTGGTTGCTTGTGTATGTATGTAGGACATAGCTTTCTCTCAAACATAACCTGCCCGCACTGACAAACATGCCATCATCATTTTAATAAAGTTAACAGAAATTTACGATTTTGTTTTTGTTTTCCTAAAGATAAGCACAAGAAAACTGCATGATAACTAAATAAGTTGTAGATGGTTTGAAGAGCTAAAATAAATTCTATGCTGCCAACATTTCCAGTTGTGCTCACATGTGAAATATACATTTACCTTAATAAACCAAAATGTAATCAATGTTCTTGAATCTGCTCAGTAAAAATCGGTTACAGTAACTGGTTTTGCCTCTCCCCTAACACTGCTTTCCTGCTCCATCTCTCTCCAACCCTCCGTTCTATCCCTTCATTTCCAGGCAAAAAAACAAAAAACGACAACACAGACATAGCGAAATAAATAATTAAGTGGTGAAGCAAAACATTGTGTGCTAAAACCCCTGTGTAGTTTGGCAATCAGCATGCCCATGTAAAAATAAATCAAGCTGATTTTCCAAATGTTTTGTGCGTGGTGCGCTGTTGCCGCTCTTCACAGCACAGATTGCAGGCCGATGGAGAGGCTGTGGGGAGGGGCGGGGCGCTGGATATTGAACCCACTTGCACCAGCTTGTTAACACGTACACCTTAACCCCCGAGCCGCGCGACAGGGCGCCCACTGAGTGCTCGGAGCCTGCAGGGGCCAACTAACATATACCCAATGTATGGATGCAGAGACACACACACACACACACACACACACAGAGGATTACAGGAACATGCATGGTATTCATTACAAGAACCATGTGAGACACTGATGTACTTGCTTATACATGGATATGCACACATGTATACAAACATAACTGCATGCACACACACGCACAAAAAGAGATCTACAAAGTTCAGCCTTGCCTCTACAGCTGAATTTAGACACAGCAAGACATGGCTGCAACAAAGTCCTGATAAATACTGTGGATCTCTTTTATTTGTTTAAGCTAAAACCAATAAGAATATACTGTATTTGTGACATGTTTTCAAGTTTTCTAGTTTTGCCCCCAGAGTACAATCAGTACCAGAAATACATACTGAAACCAAAGACCAGCTGCAATGTGGATCACCGTAAATGTGACTCATACCTCTGTCGCCTCTCTGACTCTCCTGTATCTCTTTACTGTGCCTCCTAACAATAAATCACCTAAAACATAATACATAAAATGCCAAAAAAAATACATGTATTTACTACTTAAAACTAATAAATGTATTCCCAAACATACACACTTTGTACCTTAAAAATGATCTCTGAAAATTAAATGCAAAAATGTGGTCAAGCTGCTTGACAGTAACTCCAAAAGTGACCTCATGTAGAACTGAACTCAAGAGATTTTTTTAAGTATCAGGAGAATTCATCAACCCCAGTAAGTGTCAAAGCAGAAAATAAAACTCTCTAAATGCCAAGAGTGATTATCGTGGTTCAGTTGGGAGAACAGAGAAGTTAGGAGCCAACTTCCCAGCCAATCCACTTTTGGCAGCCAGATTCCTACTCTGCTAAAGCTCCTGAGAACATGCAATAGCAACCCATACACACACACACATAAAAATACCACCATAACATATGCGAGGAAACGTACAGAATATTCAGACTTCACACTCCTTGACAACTTAGATTGTTTTTCTTTCTATGAAACACACAAAAAGAGTAACACACAACCATGAGACAGCTGTGACTTGGTAAACTTTGTTTTTTGGCAGCGTCTGACTGTCGACAGGTTAACACCGGTGGGTGGTAGACAATATGTAGTGTCAGTGATGGAGCAGGAAAAAAAGTCTGTGTGTGTGTGTACACGTTTTCTGTAAGAAGAAGGTGGAGTTTGGGGATGGGGGGGTACTGGGGTACAGATCCTGTAGAGTGGGGCAACAACACCCACACACCCTCGCTCACATTGGCAGAGCCAGGCTGTATGCCAGGCGCCCTGTGGAGACACACACCAACTGGGCTCCACGCTTAGGGAGGAACAGACCCCCGCATCTCTCACACACACACACACACACACACACACACACACACACACACACACACACACACACACACACACGCAGAGATACTGTAGCATAAGCCAAAGATGGACCCACTTTTAGCTTTTATACGTCAGTGTTTCAGAAATCACTCCCTATATGCTACATAGAGCAACAGATTTTTGTTTCAATTAACAATTAGTATAAATTAGTAAAAAGTATAAAGTTATACACTTTTACTATATATTGCCCTTGAGAAAGTCCACAAAGGAACAAAAAATCTGGCACCAATAGCATGTGTGCTACTTTAGGGCTGCAGCCGAAGGTTGTTTTTATTGTCGATTAATCTGTTGATTATTTACTCAACTTATCGATTCATTGTTTGGTTTAAAAAATGTCAGAAAATCATTCGTACTGCTTGTTTTGTCCAAACAGCAGTCCAAATATCAAAGAAGACAAAGAAACAATCAAAATAGTTAGATAAATCTTCTCTTGTTCGACTAATTGATTAATCAACTAATTGTTTCAGCTCTACACTACTTAAAAGCCCTACAATGCAAACTTTGAGTTTGATGGACATTTAAATCACAGTGACATGGGACACGGGCCTGTCACTGATGCAACATGATTCATACAGTTAAGTATCTGATACCTGAATTAGTTGTTGTCAGACAACTAATTTATCAAGTGTGATACATTCAAAGCAATTAATGATTATTCTGATATAAAAGCAATTAAATGACAAATTTCGGATCCTAACCCTAACTTTTTTTGTTTTTGCATTTAAGTGTCAACTGGTTCACACACAAATGCAGTAATACTGTCCTCTGTGGACCACCACACGTGATTCATGGGAGTCTGTCACTAGTCTATTCTTTCCAGTGTCCAAAAACAAAGTTGTGGTTTTTGATCAGAGAACAGTTTGATGTGCATCTTTATTAAGTAGAAAATATTTCCAGTGCACAAGCAGTGCGAGAGTAAACTGCTGACACAAAAATACTGTCAACAAAAAATAAAGCAGTTCTTGTAAGAATTAAACATTAGATGTGCACAAGATGGACTAGTTAGGGACAGACTGTTAAAATTTATTTTTTTTCTTGCTGCCAGATTCCGCAAATGAAAAGTAATTAAAATCCAAAATGCACGTTGGGAACATTTAAGTCCAACAGTGCCGCTGTTATTTTAATAATGTTTCGATATTGATTCATGCATCAAAATACACACCGCGATAGACAACTATAAGATTGATGTGCTAGTTTTTCATTTAGATACGTGCTGCAGTAGTCTGAGGAACTAACGAATCATAGTTTGAAAATCTTTATTTGCTAGTAAACAACACAAACATTGAGTAAAAAGGATGTGTATTTGCGTACCTGTCCTTCATGCGTTGGTGCATGCGGCCATGCTGGACACACTGGTCTTCCATGTCGGCACAGCGAGCTCTCAGACTCTTGACTGTCTCCTCTAGGTGTTGCTTCTCCAGGGCCAGCTGCTCCATCTCACTTCTGCACACACACACACACACACAGCACAGTTATTTCAACTGTTCTGCATTATGTACCTGAACAATGGACCATGTACCACAAAGCAAAGCAAGTAGAATAAAACACTAAATAGCGTTTTTATCAAAAATGGCGACTTTGTAGAAACACTAAGTAAAATGTATTTATTTAACACCTTTCTAGATCAGACGTCACAAAGTGCTTCATAATAAAAGACAAAAGAATGACATGAAATAGAGGCACAATACAAATGATATAAATAAAACAGAGATATAAATAAATAAATAAATAAAGTCTAACCAGGTGGGTCTTTACCTGCTTTTTAAAAGAGTCCATACTTTACAAATCTTAAATCCAAAGATCTGGGGACTAAATATCTGTGGTAATACCTTGTTGTTAACATACAATAAATCTTAAATATGTTAAAATGTTAAATATGCACACAGTTGCCAGTTTATTAGGTACACATACAGTAGCTAAAACTAATACAGTCCTGCAATAAATGCTACCTTCATGAAGGATATAATTGTTTTAGAAAGGTGTAGCTTCAACTGTATGGTCACTTTGGAAGCTGCCGTTTGAACTGTATGGCATTGTATTGACAGGTGTTTCTATTATTTTGTCCATCCCTTTTATACCAGTGAGAGTAGACTAACAGAACAACCATTTGTATAAATGTAAAACAGTTCAACAGCTTTCTAACTTTGAATTCATAAGTGACATCATCTGTTTATAACCAAGATCCCTGGTGTGCAAACTACGTTCAGGAACATTATCACTAGCCACAGAGACAGGTTTAATGCCACTACAGAGGAGGACAGGAATGAGGTTCATTTTTTTGTTTTGCTGTCCCGTCTACGAGGGCGTAAGGTATGATGTCCTCCATTTATGCTGATTTTATTTAGGCTGGATGATTATAAAAAATTGTAGCTGTGTTCAGGAGGAGAACCTTTATTGTAGCCGATTTTATTTAGCAAGCATGGGAGAGAGGGCAGACTATTTTGTTTAAGATCGAGCTGTAAAATAACCTGTAATTTTGTAATGAAATGAAATGTTTAACCACTGCCACTATACATTTGGTGTCTTGTGAGGGATGTGCATTTTGTGTGCATGACACGAATATAAAAGAAAATCAATCAATCTTATTAAAGGACGATGCTGTACAGCAGCCAATGGCAAACCAAATACATTTATTATTGCCTTTTCTTTTTTTTCTTTTTTTTTACAAGTTTGGGAAGATACAGAAGGGTAAGACATGCAACAGAGGTCCCTGGCCGGATATCGCAGTTGTGCACAACATTATGCTGGCCAATCAGTAGGAGTAGGCCTCGTAAGATTCATAGTCAGATTTACTACTGAAAACAATTCATCAAGAGTTTTCTTGTTCATCTTGTTACAACTGTCTCAGTGTAACCTCACTTAGCCTGACTGAGGCCGTCCAGCAGGATTTTAACCGCTACACTGGCCTTGGACTCCAGGAGCTCCAACAGCCCGAGGCACTGAACACACCAACACCGCACTGCTGCTAAAGTACATAATACACACAAACAGCAGATCCAGGGTACGAACCTACATGCCAGTGTGTCAGCATGTATGTGAATTCCAACTGATGAAAAACACATTCAAGGTGGTAGTACTTAGTACTGCACACATTTATGTGTATTTGACAGTGATGTCTATCCATAAGAAAATACACACTGTACTTGTGTATTTGTAATTGTGTGTGTATTGTGTGGATGTATTCTGTGGCTGGTGAGGCCAGTGCAGTCTGGCAGGGCCAGATTGGGGGGCTGTCATGTGACTAATGTGCAGCACAGCTCCAACAGCTGACAGGACACTGGGCCCAGGGTCACTCTTACACACAAACACACACACACAGGCAGCCCAGATGGAGAGCTGCACAGGCCTGCTGTGACTACTGTAGCATCAGGTTAACAAGAAAACAGGTCAGTATGTAGTATGTTGACATGCTCTGTCCAAACAGCCTGGATAGATGATGCTTGATGATTTGATGACATGGATGTCCAACAGATAAACGGAGAAAACAACTGAACGAGTATACAAATAACTGGAAAAGAGAAGCTGTGAATATCTACACAAGTACATATTAACCCACTACATTAAAAACTTGTTCACGGGAAAAATAGATGAATTAATAAGTTAGAGGTGTAAGCCGCAGGAGCGAGTGAAAGAAAATGAAAGCGTAACTGAGTGACTGAATGTTCAAACAAAGAGTATATGTGACGAAAGAGAAAATTTTGACCTGCTTTTTTCTGTCCGCTCTTCCAGTTTGAGTCCCAGCGTGCAGCACTCCTCCTTCAGCTTCCTGATCAGGGAATTCTGGGAGCTCAGCAGACCGTCCAACTCTCCAACTGCAATCGATCATTGGGAAAATTGTCGGTTACTGTGAGGTCAACCACCGTGCTCTTTTGAGTGGCTGTCAGACAACCTGGCTGCACAGAAACGGATGAGGTTCAGGTAATATCTCACTTCTGTTAAACACTTCAGCCCACACGACTACACTGAAGATCAGACGCTATCAAGCTCAAAAGCCTGCCTCGAGGATCTGTGTCACTGGACACCGGCATCACCCACCTCCCCTTCTCTCTAATAATCAAGCCATGTTTATATGCAGTTGCTTCTAGCACATTTAATAGCACAAATGATGTTGAATCACATTTTCTGAAACCATTAATTATCACCAAGTGTTGACTGGTTTCAACATCAATAACTGAGTGGTAGCATTATAGACACAATCCATTACTGTGGAAGTCCAGTTTACACTTCCCCTAACCATTTTAAAAAGCAGGCTACATGTACTATGTATATTATCTATAATATCTATAGTAGTTTATATATACACAATACACATATGTCTGCTCTTTTTAAAATAACAATGGCTGCCGTTTGGATAGAGGGAATGATCCACCTGCTCCGGCATTCTGTTACAGTAAATCATCACCCTGACCCAAACTAAACTGGGGCCAAACACCTAATAAACTAACCCTTTCTAACCGAACACCTAAATATACGATTTTAAGCTTATTTTCCAAGTCTTGAAACTTGTTCTAAAACTGCAGGGCAGCTGTTTTTTTTATACCTGCTTCTTTTCAGTACTGAACAAATCCTCATATTTACTGCCTCAGTAAAACGACATGGATGTGGCAATTATGTTTGACAGTGAGCTGTGTAATGTAGTTTAAATAGACTCACTCTGCTTTAAATAAAAAAAAAACAATGACAAAACAAACTCATACAAGGTTTTAATACTGTACAAAAACAGATAATGACAAAAGGCAACTTCTGAAGGGTGGATGGAGGCCTGACACAGTATCTCCAACTGTCGGCTCCAAAAATAATGACAAAATACTGAATGTCAAAATAGATTAAAATAAAAACAAACAATTTGAGCCCTTATTATGAACAGTCCCACATTCATCATCAAATATGTACTAGACTGACTCTGTCATTAAGACTACACTGTCTGACTGTGATGAAAAAAATATTTAAAATTACATTTATGAATTAAATTTACAGAAAATCAAGTCAGCTAAAACCAGGTCTGTTAAATTGTAAAGCACTACGACAGAAAATATTGGTGACCAACTGTTCTCAAGCATATTAAAGTCAGCAGTACATTATAACGGATAACCCTCAGTTATAATATACTGCAGACAATATTGAAGTGCCAGAAGAGTCAGAGTGGGAATACTAAAACTGTGACCAGGAGCTGACTGATCCTTTTAACTTTATACCTCCTTTATACCCATCTATTAATTTCAGTGTAGCATATAGAATATGTTTAATCTAAATAAAATTGAATATTATTGGTTAATTTTGGTCATGCTTTCATTAAAGTTATAATCTAGGAGACAACAAATATGTCTTCAATTCCATGGTATTGTGGTTCAATGGGGTACCTAATTTAATTTATTAGTGGTGTTCTGTTAACACATACAATACATTTCCAAGTGCAAGCAAAGCAAACAGCCTCACACACCAGAGGCAAACATCTACATTATGGACAGAGTAGAGCAATGAGATCTACTTTAACAAAACGAGATCCATATGTCTCTTTTAATGTTTTACCAAAAATGCTTTTGCTGACATTAACACTAAAACTGTTCAAACAACAGGCGGGGATGTACAGAGCAAAAACAGAAGTACAGAGAATGGAAATATAAAGTGTGTGTGAAGGGGTAAAACGAGATGGAGAAAGGGAAGGGGGGGTGTTGTTTGAAAGCCCCTTCTTTCTCCTTTCCACCCCTTCCTGCCACGTCCTCATCCACTCATGGGGGCCTCTTTCTGAACAATCCAACACTGGGCTTTCATCATTCCTTTGAAATGATCCACGTTCAGCTCTCCAACATATGTCTGCTCTTTTAAAAATAACAATGGCTGCCGTTTGGATAGAGGGAATGATCCACCTGCTCCGGCATTCTGTTACAGTCAACCGAAACCAAAAACACCAAGGACTCGCAGTCTTTGAAAAGTAGCTCAGACTTGTGAAGAAGAGGGATTTTGTTTTTTTGCATGCAGTAGGGGGGGGAAGAAAGACATGGAGAAACAAAAATGAAATAAAATGTGACTACACTTTTATTTCTCTCTACTTCTCTTTTTATGTGCTACATAAATGCTATTAATATATAAAAGTGGAAATTACCATTGGAAGAGGTGCAAAGGCCAATATGAAGTGATGTTTCATTCCTAGCTTGGAATGTAATATTATTCACTTTTTACTGGCTGCACAATGAGTCTCTAAAGTGAGTTACCACTCACCTTTTTTCATTCCACTCTATCCAGTCTGTCCCCAGATCAACCACAGATAATGCATGGAGGGCAGAAATTTGGTTGCTACAGAGCATGAAACTAAACCACACAAACGCACACACGTACACTCAACAAAGTTTGGTCAGTGCTGGAAAAGTTGCATGAAGAATGCTAATTAGCTGAACAGGCTTTGAATGCGTCTGGCCATGCGTAGGCCAAAAAGAACCCTGGGACACAGAAACACAGCAGAACTGGCACTGGAAACAAACAGAGAAAAAAAAATAAGGGAGGGAGGGATGGAGAGAAGAAGCGTGGCAGGGAGGGAGGGACAGAGAGAAACAAATATCTGATATCATCTAGAGGCTGCTCTGTACGCATTTACTCAAAAAAGAAACATGAAAAAAAAAATCAGAAAAAAATGTGGGAGGGAGAGGAGAAGAAGGGAGAGGGGGACGGATGGATGGAAGGACAAACGGATGGACAGAGAGGCGGGATTTGGAGAGCAAGAAAGCTAATTATCCAGCTCGTCTGTTGGGTTACACGGGGAGAGGAAGTGATGCGAGCTACTAAAGGACGTCCACCCCTCCATCCCCTCCCCATCCACAGTTTCCTGCTGTGCTCTGATGTCAGCTCTCTTTAGACAACATGTGTGCTGCCGACATGCGCCAGAAACAAACCCTTTGTTTACCCCCCCCCCAATCCATTCCTCCCTCTATACCCTCCATCTTTGTTCTGCGTACCAGCAGGCTCTCTGGTTGTTGAAGGGAACCACAGGTAAATAAAAAGATAGGAGAAGGGAGGAAGAGAGTGGTTGAGGGTGGGTGGTGTGTGTGAGGCGGGGGGCGATCCAGATGGTGCAACAGATGTGCTAGCAGCAGCAGCTCTGCTGTGCAGACAGATAGGGAACTCTGAGCTGGGTTTCTCTGCTCTGCTCCCATCACCTTCCCTCTGCTCTGCTACTCTCTCTTCTCCTCTTAAGGCTTCTATTCTGCTCTTTTGAGGTCACTTCAGCTCAGTCTTGTTCAGCTCAAATGATTTTTGCTCCTGTCCATCCCCTCCCACTTTGGCCACGCTTTGCTGGTGGGGAGCACGGTGGCGAGTAAGAAGATGGAGGTTCAAGACCCTGTTCCAGCAAAGATCCACCCTGCTGAAGTGTCCTTGAGGAAGAGAATGAAACCATCCCAGATTCCGTAGCTGACCCTGATCAACTCTGCTGCTGTGCTCCTTGCTGTCTTTTCAATTTAAAGCATGTTGAGTTTTTTAGTAATGAAATGTGCTATATAAATCATATTGCCATTACAGTAAACCTACTGTACTACAGTAAGGACTGAGGACTTCTGTAGCCGTGTAGATATGGTCTCGAGTGTGTGCGGCTCTCCACTGAAATCCCTTAAATGCTGCTCCTTTGGAAATTCTGACCCCCAAGTCCACCCGATGTTTCTCCAACATAACTTGTGAATGTACATATATGCTGATATCTATTGTCAGTTGACATTAATTTATTATTTAATGATGCCTTTCATTACTTGATGATAATTGATTATCAGTTGTCAGCAAAACTATGTTTTCTTTTATGTTGTCTCTTCTGTGAATACACATTATTTAGGAAATACAGATGGAAAATTAAGATTAGATGGCGTGCTGCGTAGTAATTAAAATGAGGCACAAAGTTTCTGTTACCACATTGATCATAAATAAGCTATATCCGATATTCTTCTTAAACAAAAAATGTTGGAAAACAATTCTAAACTAAATGTGGCTGCTTTAAGACGATACACATCTGAAACGCTTCCAGTAAACATCTGAACTGTGGTAGATCTGTGAATGAGCTGTGGTGGAACCGAAACACGGTGCAGCTGCATCCAGTGGACTTCCAGGGTGAGGTTCCACAACACAAAACTCTAAATGAAAAGGTACTCCGTTGACAAACAAAATATGGAGGAGAGACGGGTTTTTAAAGAACTTACATCCTAGAGGATACTTAGCAATCTTAAGAAACAGGTCAGATTTATTTTTAACAAGTCAGAGAGGTGGGAAGGAGACAGTGAGCTATGACACTGAAGCACCAATCACTGTTGGTGGAAACACTGACCTCTCTGCTGGTGTTGAGCCTCCGTTTGCTCCAGCTGCACAGCCAGCTCTCTCTCTCTTTCCTGCGCTGAAAGGGTCGCAGTCGCCATTTCCTCCTCGTGAGCCTGATCTGCACTCTCTCTGTCCTGTCTGGGGAAGAGGACCAGGATGTTAAAGGAACATTCAAACCACAATCCTTCTTATAATATGTCTCCACATTTTCTATTAATAATGGCATATCATGTAATTTCATTACATAACTTTGCCAGGCTACCTACAGTACGTGTTAAATTGCATCATCCTTACAGAGACACTAAATGTTAGTCTGTGCTTGAGATAACTTTTTCATGTTCCACCTCTATCAGATGATGACTAATAACATTTCTACATCCTGTAGGCAACAACTTCTGTCTCAAACATCTCACTTATTTTAGCAGGTAAATTTGAGGTGTATTGAGAGTTTTGAGTTTCTTGTGTCAACTGACCATGACAAAAATATGGGCTTGTTTTGCATTTTACATGAACAACTTAATCACTTCGATAAAATGTTAGTCAATGCGTTTAAAGATGATGTTAATCAATTTTGGCAGGATCACGGATTGTGCCTTTAAGTGGCTTCTAATTATACAGACTATTACATTAAAAACTAATTGTTCTCAAAATGAGATGTGCAAACAGAGCAATGTGTCCCAGATCATACTCATTAGTGTCATTTTCCATAGAGTATGAAAAAGAAATGTAGGCCCATCAATTTAAAAACAGTCAGGAGGGGGCTAGATGGGTAAAAGTGTCAGGCCACTGTCAGTTTCAAGACCCCTGAGTGATACTGCAGCTGTCTACAAAACACACACACACACACAAAGAAAAGATTGGTCTGCGCTGTGATATTACATTGTTTAACCTGCTTATCATCTTGTGCATTTCCTGTACAAGTTTTCTAACTTTTCAGCAATACAATATAAAACACTACAGCAACATAAACTGAGTTGATCAATCTAACATGTACTTATAGAAGGCCTACATATATATTACAGTATGACTCCGTGGTACACACCGTTCTGGGCTCGACAGGAGTGCTGAGTAGTATGACACATTTGGTAGCATTCACATCACTTTAATCTCCAATTTCATTCATCTCGATATCAAAATTGTGCAGGTAAGATGCAAACTAAGGTGCTTATCCCTGCGGGCTTTGAACAACGCTGCATTTTACTCCTGTTTGAACCAAACTTTCTAACTCAACTAAGTCCAAACGTAGCCAAACAACAGAGGAACAGACAAAGAAGGAAAGAAAAGAAAAACTACAAAGACAGGAATAAATGAACAAATAAACAGAACTCTTCCTGAAGTCCAAAGGCGCTAATGAAGAGAGAATTCTCCAGTTTAAGTGAAAACTTTTCTCCCCTACAGCGCTTGGCCTGCATCTCTAAAGTGACCGCGTCTGTCTGTTCCTTCGTGTGTGTGTGTGTGTTCTCCTGCTGTCCTGCTGTCTGGGGTGTGAAAGCGGGTGGCGGGTGTGCAGGGGACACAAGGAGACTGTGTGTGTCTGTACACGTACAAGTGTGTGTGTGTGTGTGTGAGTGAGTGAATGAACCCCCGCTGGGCTTGAACAGCAGCCTGAGCCACCAAAGCGCACACCAGGGCTCAGCGGGAGATGGCGGGCAGGCGTTGCCAGCCATTTGGTCCTGCAAGAGGTTCCAGGGGGCCGTGTGTATTTGTGTATGTCTGTTTGTGTGTGTTTGTGTACAAGTGTGTGTGTGTGGGGGGGGGGGGGGGACGACTCACACCAGACCTGTTTACCCACCAATTAGCATCAGACAGACCGCCAGAAAGTTCCAGCAGTCAGCAATAGAGTGGTGGTGAGGAAGAGGAGAGTGATGAAAAGCAAAGAAGATAGAAAAGCAAAAACACAGAGCTACACATTTGGCATCTGTTTTGTCTTGCTGATCAACTGAACCAGCATCTTACTAGTACAACCTAATAAAGTTATACACAACAAAGCAGATCAGATTTTCATTTCTGGGTGGGAGTGGGGCAACTTTGAGGAGGGTTGCTGATTTTCAATAAGTTAGGTCTAAGGGTTCAAATCCTTTTCACAAGCCCCTGAAAGCCTCATCAAGGATCAAATTAAAGCTGGGAAGCCAGACTAAGTTATTTGGTTCTTGCTACTGCGCCATTTTGTATCAATCCAATCAAATTCAACATGTTGACTTGCAAAACGCTGTCACAAAATGGCTGCTGATGAGTACTGTCAAATTAAAGCATAAAAAAGAGAAAGCAAAGGAGAGACGTCAGTGGAGAGCCAAGCCCTGGAGCAAGCGTTCAGGGCGACGGGGAGAGCAGAGGCTGAATATGTTGGGCTGGAGCTGGATAATTCTCCCTGGACAATAATCTGCCTTCCAGCTAATTGGTGAATGGGCTCTGGGTTGCTGCCTGTGGCAGGAACTCCTGTTTGGGCCTAGGAGGCAATAGACTGAATGTTCAGTTAGCAGATAGCTGTGCCTGTTTGTATATGCCTGGCCTGAAGCACTGTAGGACAGCTTGATAAGTATGGTGAGAGCTGCATGGGCCAGCGGCCTAAGGTAGGCTGGAATGGCTCTGGGGCTGTGGCCAGGTACAGTGGCTGCTGGGTATGTGGGAGGTGGCAGAGGCGGTGGCTGGCTGGCTAGCTGGCTGGAGTGGCGAGGAAGAAGAGGGGGCCCAGTCTGCACTGCCTGCCTAAGTGGGCACTATTCAAGCTGTTGCCCATTAGATGTGGGGTGCCAGGGCCTGACCAAGCACGGAGTTTGCAGCACCCCATGGTGCAGCCGGCATCCCACGCCAGAACCACCAAATGCCGCGGTTTATCAGAGAACGAGCACAAATTGGAGTCAGACGGTGGACTTGGAGACATTCGCCAACGCCAGACACCACTGACCGCTGTTTGGACTAAAGTAAAAGACACCATACTCTCTCCCAATAAACACAGTATCACCCAGATACACATAAACTCATAAGTTATACAGCACACACACACACACACACACACACACACACACACACACACACACACACACACACACACACACACACACACACACACACATTGAGGACAAATCTATGTGTACATGTAAATTACACAAAATATATGACTTAATTTTAATTTCAAATAACTAAAGAACATCAACATGACTGATGAAGCTCTCTTCAAACTTCAGTTACTTTTCGGAGGTATTCACTTACCAAAACCAAAGTAAAGAGACAAATATTGAATATAAAAAATATACATAAAATATACATATAAACTAAATACAATTCCTCAAATAAATACATGTTCATTTATATGCTCTGCAATGTTTCTGTCACAAAATAACAGGTGTGAGATTAACATACAGGTGACCAGATTGTGAACACAGCCTATAGCACAAACATGCAAACAAGAACAATGAAGAAGAGTAATTGATGCACGACATTAATGATCCCTGCAAAGAGTTTTTAAAAGATTTTAAATGTTTTAAATGCAACATTTCAAATCAACTACAGACCTGTGTATTAGTTGTCATATCTAAGTCTGCTTGTAACTAACTAACTCTAATTAACAGCATCAACAAAAATAACAAATAATAATCTCTAATATTTTTAACATACCTTTGAAATAAAATTACATTGCATTTAACTATATAACTGTTTTTAATCGACTGCATTTCAATTCAGTTAATTAAACTGAACGCACAAACAGTATTTGTTGAGATTTGATGAAGAAAGGATTTAACTAAAATGAACTCTACTATAAAAAATTACAACTGTCAACTATATGCTCGTATTTCAACTGCTCAAAATGGTGACACTCGTGATGATTCATTTTTGTGGAGGAATTCCAGTGGATCCACAGCTATTTATGATAGACTGCATCAATCAGACGACATTAATATTCAACAGTTTGATATGCAGAACTACAAATGATTTCTTGCTAATGTGTGAGTGTGCTTGTTTATGTGCGTGACTGAGAGACAGTGAGACAGAAGCCCTGTGTAGTAGGCCTACCTAACTGATACTGCCAACAAAGGATGAGTGCACCGCGGAGAAAATAAAGTGACATATTGAACATTTGCTGCGCTGCGTATCACTGCTGCTGCACACGATAAACATTTGAATTGTTTTCTGTAGCAGGCCGCACAGTGTCACATTTTTTTCTCTCGCACACACCTCAATGTGTTTTAGCACATTTTTATTAAACCTTGGGGTGATGCAAGTCAATCGCTCTGCTCCCACATTTTCCTTCTGACACCCCCCCCTCCCCTCATCTCGCTGCTCTACTTTATGAAACAGACACATCAAACACAGAGGCAGCCTGATGCAGTCTCACCGCTTGTTTACTGCGTGTCCAGCCCATCTTTCAATCTATCTGTCCATCTATCCGTCCAGAACGTTTCTCATCTCTGCTCCGATCCTTTCCTCTGCTGTTTCTATCTCTCCTTCCTCTTTTCCCTCCCACCATTTTTTCCTGTAACTAAACTGGCTGTGTCTCTCTCCATCTGCTGGTTCTTCCTTCAGCGGCCCTGCACCTGTTCACACCTCCTCTCCTGTTGGCCACCTCTTCTCTCTACTCCCCCCCCCCCCCTTTATCTCTCTCTCTTTCTCTCTCTCTCCCTCCTTCTCTCTCTCTCTCTCTCTCTCTCTCTCTCTGCTCAGTGCGATGCTGCCAGGCCCGTTCCTGGCTCAGTTAGCCTCTCTGTCATTCAATCCATCTGTCGGCAAGTCAACTTTGTTTACAGCGGGCGGCCCAAGCCTCTTTTCTTCTTCAAGGAGCGCTAAAGCCCCCCCGCTGCCACCAAGGTCAGTGGTGAGCCAATCGTGCTCAAAAAAAAAAAAAAAAAACCTGCAACTGTTAAATCAGCCAACAAATGTAATTTCCCATCCAACACAAACACGTATATGGACAATAAAGTGTCGTTGTCTTTCACTCGCTCAGGCGCGTGAATAAATGCAAACACTGCATGTACAAACAGACAGCTACAAATGCACATACCTCACAGAAAGAAGCACTTGCTGTTGCAGCACACATTCCCTCAGAGAAAAAGCTCTAGATTGAAGTAATTAAGGCTTCTGTCATCATCTATCTGCTCACAAAACAGAGCGAGAGAAGTTTAAAAGTCTTAATTGGCACGGAT